AAATTGAATGTACAGAATAGCTGCGAAGCTATGTGGAATGTCAAAAGTTGGCTGGCCCTGGAAAGGGCAGTTTGTTCCACCGTGAGTGCACTGGTAGAATTTGCTCCTTTGTAGTAGACCAAGTCTTTACAGCCGTTCAGGTGGTTTGTCCGGCCGGCAATGTGGTGCTGCGTGTGCCTGTAGGAACAGCTACCTACAGAGTTGTTGCTGGAGAGTTGCAGCAACTACGTTAGCTGCCTGGTCACAGAGCGTGGTTGCTGGAGAGTTGTGGCAGCTACGTTAGCTGTCTAGTAGCAGAGTGCGGTTGCTAGAGCTGCGGCAGCTATGTTAGCGGTCTGGTATCAGAGTGCTGTTGCTGGAGAGTTGTGGCAGCTGTCTTTGGTGCAGTGAACACCTCATGACTCTGATGACTGATCGCTCTGAAATGAATGTGATCACTGACAACTGCGAGCTTTGGGCTCCGCTTTTATACCATGCTTGCTAGGTGGAGCTTAAACTTGCAGTTGCAATTGTGAGCACTGATTGGCTAGCACACATGATGATCTACAGGTGGGCTGGACATCGGGTGCTGTATAAATACAAGTGGTGGCAGCAACGTTCAGCAATGTGATATTGATTAGGAGTGAGTGCTGTCTGTTAGACTGGCGAAACCGTGTGTTAGTATGTGGGCTGTTCCCACACCAATATCTCCTCAAGATTTAAATTATCTCAGAATGAAAGAATTGCCCCTTTGCTCTGTACATTGTTTCACTACAGATGGAGTAGTTTTTTTGGAGAGGTTGAATTCAAATTCTAGAAAGTGTTTTTAAGTAGCATTTCTCATTATAAAATTGTAAAATCAAAAATTGCAAATGCATAAATCCAATTATCATTCAATGGAAGTATTCCTGTGTCAAGTTAAGTATATTTCAGAAGTAGTTATCCATGCATTTCCCATTAGTTTTATGTCTTCTCTTTTTGGATATCCTGATATCTTCTGGATTTAAGCTTCTCATAGTGGTAACTTATGGAGTGTGACACCATAGGCCTATAGTCTGCCTGCATATTATCACAATCCAGAGGCTCGTACTCTTCAAATTGATTTCTTATTTATCATTGATTTATTTTCGAAAATATCACACTGAGGCACTATAACATCTTGTTATGTGATTTGTGTGTGATCTTTGCACAAAGTGAACACACATAAGGGAGGCTGAGTCCAATCATCTGTTCTCATATTTTATCTCACAATCTACAAAACAGATTTTGAAGAAAATTAGTGTTGAGAAGTAAGAAACGATGAAAAGCATATTTGTCTCTGTTCTTAAGTGTGATGCCATAAAGACATGAGGTATATAGTCAGATTCAAGCTCCAGCCACTTTACTCTTTGTACCCATTAGACAGCTGGAAATCATAGCTTGTGTGGATGTAGTGATAAATAATAATATCCCTTGTGATTCAAGAAATCTCTTACTGTACCGAATATAATACACATAGTGCTGTTTTATTCTTCCTAATTCATATTAAAGGTAAAAATAATGCAGTAATTATTACAAAATGATTTGGGGGGAGTGTGACTCAGTTGCTTACTCTGTGAAACAGAGGTGCATTTTAAACGAGTGTCAGATGAGAAAGTTTCTTCCTTGTGTAACAGATTGATGTGCCCTATTGTTGTATGTGACCCATTCTCAGAGTTGTTTACATATGAGGATAGACTTCTGAAAAAAAGACTCCATAAAGTATCTCAAAGCCAGTTCAAATTGATTCTTATTTATAATACACTTAGCTCCTTAGTATTGTATTTTTGTTATATTTGCCAGCAGATGTGTGTGTGTGTGTGTATTCTTTCAAACAGGCAATTTGAAAATCCTGTAAGGCATTTTACAGCTTTGGTCATATTTATGTAAGGTTTTTTTCTTAATTTACCAATTAAGTTGCTGCATTAAATATTGTAGCTGTATTATTAGTAACAGATCATATGCACTATTGACTGTATTATGAATAATCTTTAGAAGCTAGTAAATTAATTCAACACATGAAAACATACTTTGTTTACATATTCACTGTTTGCAATCACTGTTTAATGACTGCAACAGGACCTGTATGCTGCTACAAACCCTCCGTACTCAGATGACAAGGACCGTCAGAGGGGATATAATGAGGTGTTAGACACAAAACCTTCCATTAACCACCTCTCATCCAACTCTTGGAGCAAGGAGTGCTCTCCTTCTGCACTGCAAGCCATGGGCAACCGTCTGCTGGACTGGTTTTCTGTTGTCATGGCTGAAGCAAAGCGTCGTCGCACCCACAACAAAGGGAAAGGTATTCTTCATGGTTCAGTATTTCAACATCAGCCTTTGTCAATGTGGAGAGAAACATAGTACATCCACTTCAGGCAGCCATTTCATTTGCAAGCAGGGATGTACAAGACGCCGGCAAAATGTATCCAAGTAGTAGACTACAGTCCTCCATTATATATATAGGGTGTGAACTGAACCATTGACATGTCATAGTTAATATCCTTACATACAATTTTAGTGATACCCTATCAGATATCAGCCAGGTGACAAGTCATCTGGATTGCCAATTTCTTGGTTTTTCTCAGCCTTCCAAGGGAAATTCTAGTGTAGTATTTTCTAATAAAGCTATCCCTCTTCAACATAATTAGTTTCTTTGGTAATGTTGTGACACTATCAGACACAGAGTTAATGTAACTTTAAATTATAAGTGCTGTAGCGTGTATTGAAAGACAGATTGGAAGAGGGTATTGTGGGCTGTTGTGTAGTTCAGTTCTGTTGCCTGAATGAGCTTGGTAAATCCATTGAAACATCAAGATTCAGGTTTATTATCTAATGATATAATACTCTTGATCTGACCTGTTTATTTCTGCAAAACTCATGTCACTACTCAGAATCTTGTCATTCTCACTCAGTCCCCCCCATGTGTGAGGAGGGAGGGGTGAGTGCACATTCATGCTTATATACATGTCAGAGAATGACCTTTACAATTATTACAGCAGTGTTAAATAAACTTATAGAAACCATGGGTCCATTAAGCATAACAAACCTTGGAAAATTTGAATAAACCACAATCTGTAAATTTAAAAGAATTTTGAGATCTGTTTTTTGCAAGATGACCAAGAAAGATGTGCTTTTCACCTTTGGCACTGTAGACAGAACATTATATGCAAAAGCATTACTGGAATTACAAAACAAGAATGTTCCTTGATAGTACTGCTTAACCACTTTTATACTCTGTATAGTTTAAGGGTTATTTGCTAATTCTATTTTTGACAATAGCCGTTGTCAAGTACCAGTTGTTTGAATGTATAGACAATTTTGTTACGCTTTGTTACTACTGACACTATTGGTTATTGCAACACCTTGAGGAAGAAACCCTAGAGGAGCGCTGAAGCCAATTCAGTAAAGAGAGTAGCACATAATTGGCTTCATATCTCATCACCATAGTTCTTCTTTTAAATTCTGCTTGCTAAGCAAGTAAAATGTCAAAAATTTTCCTGAGTTTTTGTTTATTTAGTACATAATTTTTGAGATCATAGGGTGTCATTTATCTAAAATATTTAGGAATGTAAATTTTGTCTAATGTGTAACTCCATTCTCTTATACTTTCTTTTCAAGATCAAAATTTTGTACCTTCATTATAAAAAGTAAAATTTGGAAAGGGTATTTAAAACCAAGTTTTTTTAGTCATATTTTTCACATTGTTCATTTTTATTTATCAGTCTTGAGTAATCAGAGTTTATCAAAAGTGTTGGTACCGGGCTGTTGTAAGACAAGTGAAGTAAAGGTGCAATTGAGTGGGTGATAGAAAAGGTCTTGTGTATTATGAATAAAGATTAATTACTTGTGCCGCAAAACTTTGTTATATTCTGTTATTAGATACAATAAAGTCAATATTCAAATGACATCACTAAAAGCAAAATATCTTTTTTCTTACAGGAACTTTTCCTGCAGAATATCAGTTTGTTGTATGTTGTTCAAGTTTCCTTTTTCAACCCTTAAGTGAATCCAAATAAATATAATGGCTGTTTGCTACCTGAAATTTGTGGAGATTGTAGAAAATGTGAGACAGTGCAATACATTTTCCAGATGTTTGTTATCCTTTAGCTACCAGTACTTTTAGAAAAGGTCTTCATATATAATATCTTATATTGTATTGTATTTACTTCTCTTATCATTAATGACTGACATTCCATTTATTAGTCTAAACACCGCCATCATTTTTATAATTGTTGTTGTTGCTGCTTAATTTAACAAGACATTTTTAAATTGAATAGGCTACAGAGCGTCAAACAGCAGCCTTGTAAGATACAATTTAAATTGAAGATGCATTTGAAATATCTGTGGAGGTCATAAGACAGAAATTGGGAAATTAATTGAGCATTTTAATTGTTGCAGCTCACTTCCCTGGCTCATGCAAAAGTGAGGTGCGATGGATGTTCCAACACCTGGATTTGGATGCAGATGACCAGCTCTCTTTGCAAGAGCTGTATGATTTAGAGCATGATCAAAGTGAGAAATGCATCAAGCCATTCCTTGATGCTTGTGATGCTAACCATGACATCTTTGTGTCACCACATGAATGGTGCCGCTGCTTTGAGAAGACAGACCGACCCTGTGCTGCTGTCAAAAGAAGGATAAGTCCAGACCTTCTTGGTAAGTACAGCATTATGCCATACAAATACTCACTACAGCAGAGATGTGCAATTATTTTATTCTGATGCCAAGTTGGTATATTTTGAAGTGACATGAGATGTGTGTGTGTGTGTGTGTGTTGGAGGGGGTGAAGAAGGGTGGACAAGTAGAATTGTTAACTAGTTATAAAGCATTCACAGTGATCGAACACACTACATATGTATACCAGAAGACATGGACTTACTTTTGTTAATAAGAACATAATATTTTTAATAATTAGTTCAGATATTATATTGTCAAATCATTATTGACATCCTCAAGATATTAAGGTACACATTAAACTGAGGCTGGAGAGGGTCTGGTCCATTTTCTGAGTTACTATTTGTAGGTGTAATACACAAAAACCTTATGAAACAACATCTTAATTTCTATTTGTTTAATTGTTGTGATCATAATGTATCCCCTATACTATGATTTATAAAACTATAATTCATAGAGGATCATATCCATACATATAAATTGTTTAGGTATGTTTCTGCTTCTCTCCAGTTTCAACAAGTTCATGGGAACACCAATGGCGGTGCCACTTGGTGAATCTCTTATGAGAGGTGCTTAGGCAATACACACAAAAGAAATAGCTACAAAAAACATGTACAAGAGGACAACTTGGCAATGGCTTTTGCCTCAGGGTGCATACAGATTAAATTACCGCCTGAAAATTGTCCACACTGTTTCCAGATACATGGCTAGATTTACCATTTGGTCTCACCATTGTGTCCAAATGTTATACATAAGCCAGGATAAGAAGAACTTTACTCATATATTTTTGGTTCTGCAGAAGCAAAAACCAATCAAACCAAGGGTGTATAGCCAGAGTTATGCAAGGATTGTACTAGAATCTGCTACAAATTAACCAATTTCCTGAGTCATATAAACAAATAAATTGAATTAAATATATGAATAAATAAATAAAATGAGTTAATATTTAATTAGTAACTTTTAGGATCTGCTAGTACAATGTATGTTACGTTAGGTACAGCAGGTACAGCTAGTAATTAATAATATCTCAATATCATACCGGCCAGTTTTAATTTTCATTTTAAGCCTTAAAATTCCCATGCTTGTATTACAGCCTAGTAAGAGACCAGCATATCGCCAGCTGTCTAATACCAGTCCACAAGGAATCTACATATTTAGACCTAGTGGGGGGTGGAGTCCAGCTGGGTCCACTCGGCATGGTGGCCACTCAGTAGCCTATTGTACCTGCCTTGGGTGATTATGATGATGGAGAATTTGGTGGAATGAAGATTGGCGGGGGAACCGAAGTACTCAGAGAAAACCTGCCCTGGTGCCACTTTGTCCACCACAAATCCCACTTGACCAGACCCAGGATCAAACCCGGGCCACGCGGTGGTTAGCCAGCGGCTAATGGCTTGAGCTATGGAGTGGCCTTTTATATTTAGACATAACTAATTGTGTGAGACGTGAGGTGAAGAAGCTGTATACTGGCATACTTTCCGAAAGCTCTTCCCCTGCCATTCATTATTTTCACATCATTGTTAAAATAATTAATATGAAATCCATTTTTACAGTAGTCAACATACTAATATACATACAAGGTATATAATATGGACCATATGACCACAGAGAATGACAACTGAATGAAGAAAGTGTGGCAGTTGGAGCCTCTCTGACATGCACCAATACCTGTTCTCTTCCATAATTTTAGGGGTGTACATTCCGGATTGCGATGATGAGGGTTACTACCGTCCAACGCAGTGTCATACCTCTGTGGGCATGTGCTGGTGTGTGGATAAGCATGGTGTTGAAATGGCCAATTCACGCACACGTGGGAAACCTAACTGTGGTAAGTTCAATGGACATTATAAGATAATGTCACATGTTAGTGACTTAGACACATGGTTCAGATTGATAACTAAATTTATTGAACATTTATTATGCTTAACTACAAGTAATCACAACACAGACTACAATTTAACTACAATGCATTCCAAGTCTTCCTGGTCTGCATTATCTTCATCTACTTGTTCTTTAGTTACAGTCTCTATTAATGGGAACTGTCCCTGGTACCCCATGGTTGACAGCTCTGGTCTGGTCTGTTAGTCGGTTAGTTGGAAAATTTCTACTGGACTTCATCAGCACAGTAATTTTTGTTTCAGGTCCTATCAGGACCCATAGCCAGATTTTTGTTCATTGTAAGACACAGGGTTTGAGATGGGAACTCCTCTTTAATGAGAGGAGGGATCTGAATACTGCTGTCCACTAGCCACATTCCTGTTTTGAATTGTGTCAGGTAAATTGTTGCTGGCCATTGCCAGCACAGGCAATCTTGGTTTCATGTCCCATCAGGAACCATGCCCATATTTTTATTCTTTCCAACCGTTTACATGTTTAGAAATGGGGTCTCCTCTTCAACAAGAAATGTGGTCTGACTACTACTTTCTGTCTGACAGTTCTTGGTTTTGGGTTGGTCATTCAGGTAAATTGCTTTGACCTTCACCAGCATGATCATTCTTGGTTCTGGGTCCTGCAGGACCCATGGCCATATACTGTGTAGCGACCCAGAAGACTACAACATAAATATTGCCACTGCAAAACTTCAGATCTCATATAAAATTTTCACAACCAATCATGGCCCTTTTGAACGATTTGTCTATCAGAATGTGTAAAACATGAAAGTATTTAATGAATATTATTAAAATATAATACACTATATTACACACTTTTATTTTGGTCACAAATATTAAACTCAAAGCAGATTTTCTGACAAAGACCACACAGGAATAACCATGGGTGAATATGTGAAACATGTAACTTATTGAAGTCTGGATAATTAGGCACAGAACTACTGATAATGGTGCAAAAGGCTCACTATATACAGTTGAAGGAGCAATGAGGCATAATCCAGTGCTCACTCAAATGCGTGAAATAACAAAACAGATATACGTTAAAAAATTTCCATTAACCTCAATTGTTTTATTGAGACTGTGAGGTAGAAAGTTTAAATCTCTCTACAACATGACATCATTCACTGACTGACAACAGGATTTGACTGATGGTTGCAGGATTTATTAATTTAAAGTCCATCAGCATGAATCCTTATGCTTCTTAAATGTGTGTAATTTTGTAGTCAGTATGGATGAAGTTAGAGTATATATCTTAGCTGAGATTTGTTTTCTAATCATAAGAATTTTTATCATCAAGTCAAGGATGATAAGATGGGCAGGGCATGTAGCACGAATGGGGGAGAGGAGATATTGGTGAGAAAACCTGAATGAAGGAGACCAATGGAAAGACCAAGGCATAGGTTGATGGGCAATATTAAAATGAATCTCAGAGAGATAGGCTGGGATGGTGTGGATTGTATTGATCTGGCTCAGGATAGGGACCGCTGGAGGGCTCTTGTGTACACGGTGGTGAACATTCGGGTTCCATAAAATGCTGGGAAGTTCTTGAGTAGCTGCACAATTGGCAGCTTCTCAAGAAGGGCTCAGCTCCTTTTTAATTTTTATCCAAAATTGATGCTTTGTATTTTAATCAATAAGTATTATAATCACTTAAAATTTATATAATTCGTTGTTTTAAATTAAATCAGAATTCTTTGTATTTCATGTCATCCACTTTGCCATTATTTATAACTTATTTAGTAAAATTTTTATTGTCATTATGGCTCTAGAGCCCTTTGTTGAGCTTTGGCCGCTTTTTCAGTTTCTTGATCCTATACACAGTCAGTAGGACTCCTTGGATGGGGGATCAGACCATCACAAGGCCTCTATCCACAAACAGAACTACACAAGCACAGAATAAATGCACACAGTACAATTCATGCCGTGAGTGGGATTTGAAACCATTATCCCAGCATTTGAGTGAGCGAAGACAGTTCATGCCTTAGGCCATGCAGCCACAGTGATCAGCATTTAGTAAAATTTACTTCTGTAAATATAGTCAGCATTAAGGAAACTGAAAAGAATCCAACTTTGGGACATAGACTATAAAAACGAATTTTAATAAAATAAACATGATGCTTATATTGTAAATATCTTGAATACCTGAAATCAGCAGTTCTTATCAGAGTATTATTGTGAGCTCTGCTTGCTACCTGCTTCATGCTGGGCTTACTCTTGAGTCCATGATTTATTCTAACCGTCTTACAGTGCATACATTTATTCACCTTACTCTTCTCTCTTGCACTACATGTTTCAGCACAAAAGTGCCGTCTTCAGGTGCTTTTCGATGTACGTCAAACTACTTCAATGCATGCCCTGTTGTCTTTATACTAAAATATATATTCATCATATATATTGATAAATTTGCTGGGTATGACATACCCAGCAGGATAACACATGCAGTCACAGGAGCAAGACACAACACAAAGCACAATACACACACAAAAGTAGGAAGAATACTCCGATAGAAGAAGATAGGTGTGACTCGCGTATTGAGATACGACATAAGGATGACAAATCCTGAACAGTTTTAATATTTTTAATATTTAAAATTTATCAGTATATATGATGAATATATATTTTAGTATAAAGACAACAGGGCATGCAATGAAGTAGTTTGACGTACATCGAAAAGCACCTGAAGATGGCACTTTTGTGCTGAAACATGTAGTGCAAGAGAGAAGAGTAAGGTGAATAAATGTATGCACTGTAAGACAGTTAGAATAAATCATGGACATAAATCAGTGCAACAGGACGCTAAAATATAACATTACTCTTGAGTCCTGAAGATGGAGGCAGTATGTCTCTCCAAAACATCAGTTGATTGTCACTAGACTACATGGCATTATACCACAGATGATATAAAAATAAATTTGTATCTTTCTCTAGACAGTGTTCTTTAAGAGCATAATTAAAAAATGTAAATGTATTGTTAGATATTGTTTTATAAGAGCATTATGATACAACTTGAATACATATTCATGACTCCATTTCATTAGAACCTTTGAATTCCATAGAAGGAAAGAAATTTCTGATTAGTTGAGCTACTGTGAGCTGCAAGTTATCAACAACAGATATAATGAGAATCTAATTCACTGAACTTTGAAGCAACTGCCTTGTGGATACTATATCCACATGTAACTCTTTTTCTAAGCAATGTAAATAAACTACAGAACTGATATGAAGAAATTCTCTGGAAATTAGTGGCATTGAGTGTTGAGAAGTCATTGTAGGCTAGCAGCAAGCCATTTAAATGCCAGTTCAAGGAAGTGTGCTTAGGAAACATCTGCAACTCCATTCTTTCCCCTCATCAGAAACCTGTTAAGTGTACTTTTTAGATTTGTGTATGTCTGTTTCTCCACTGCAGAAAATTTATTGGTGAAAAGTAGCAAGGTCTCCAATGCCAGCTCCAAGAGTGACAATAGTGACAACAGTGACATTGATGATGAAGATGATGATACAGAGCAGGACATAGAAGGCAGTGCTGACCAACCACTCGATTTCTAAACTCTCCACAGCGCCTCCATCAGAATTACAACCAATGACAGGTAAATGGAGAGAGCTGTGCTGTTCAGGACACAATATATTTGAATGGAATATACTGGTATAAAAAGACGATTTCATATCTCCAGTCACACATGCTGAAGCACTGACTGGCTGCACCATCAAAATTATCACTGTGTTATGTGTAACTGAATACATGAGGGGAGGGTCACAAAAAATTCATCTGTATGGAAATTATACAATTTTTGAGAGTAAAATACTCTTTGAACCTTTTATGGGAAATTTTATATTTCCAAGTTCCTTGCTGCCACAGCTGGTGACATTCTTATTAGAACTCAGGTCAGAAATGAATATTTATTTTCATTTTAGAAACACAAAAGTCTAACAGATCAGTATTTCTATTCTTGGATGTTATTTTCAATGAGAATGAAACCTGCAACATAATTGGCTCATGGCAGTTATAAATAAATTGTAAAAATTAAAATACAATATGTATCAGGTGACATGATGGCAGCATTCAGTAGAAGAATACATATCACCACACGGTGATCACATAGCAAAGAATTTAAAAACTAAATTTTTTGTGAAATTTCAAACTTTTTCCCTTGTGTAATGTGTCGAACTTTATTTACCTTTTGACAGTCATGTTATTAGTGAATAATGGTAACCGCCAAAGTTCAAAGACTTGCTGTTGTGATGGTTAATTGCATACCAGCAGGCCATTTTAATGTGAGGACCATGAGTGAAGGTCCACTTATCTTTTACATTTAGCATGTAGAGGACTGTCAGTAATTTCTTTTGTTGCTTTAAAGATCTTTCTGGCAGCTTGTGCATATTGCATTCTTAGCTAGCAAGAACTAAAACAGAAATTCACTGTTAAGTGAGTTCATGGGAAACCTAAGCAGCACATGGGAGGATAGTATTAAAGTGGATATTAAAGAAGACTGGTTTCAAGGTAGAGGTAGATTGAACTGGTTAAGGATGACCAATAGACTACTCATCAATCACACTGAATCATACACAAATTTACTACCATTATTTAGCTTACTGGAACTTGCAGCCTGGTCAACTCTTTTACCCTGCTTAGATGAGGAAAAACTTAAGCAATTAATTGTCCTCAGAACACTCAGATTCCCCAAACTATTAGAGAAACCAGGAAAATAATCTGATGTCTTGCATTGAGTTTAGCAGAAGCTGAAAGTGCCTTCAACCTAATCCAGTCATTTACAGAAGAAATGCATTGTTAATTGAGAATACTGCTCATCTCATGAGGGTGAAGCTTTTGGCAAAACCTTTAATGGATGGGATGTAACCTCATTCTTCAGATCATGGTTGAAGCAATGACATGACAAAGCAAATGATAATGGTATCAGAAAGCAAGTAAAATCCTTTAGCTTCGTACTTCATCTTTTAGTAAGTTTGAATAATAGTTTGTGTTAAAAGAATCAAAGAAGAATTTATGAACTTATTTTAGGATTGTAGCTTTTTTTATTAATGATGGGAGATTTTCAGTTTACTGTATCACAGAATGCCATTTACTTGGCCACCTGGAGGGCAGTTTTCTACAGCTTCCAGTTGCTTTCAACATACAGGTTGTAAGGCTGATTCATGTAGGTTTCACATTAAAGTAAAGTTTATAATATGATGGAAAGATTGAAATCGTGTTGTCTGTTAGCTTATAGACATCTTCATATTGTGTTGGATTTGAAGTTCTCACATCAGTGTCTAGAAGAGTACTACCTTCTGGGATGTGACAGTATATGTTCACTGACATTCTGAAGACCATACATTCCTCCAAAGTGTCAGTGAACATGTACTGGGCTGCACAGAATGATATCTCACTCCCTATATGTTTTATAAAATACAGTGATGCTTTCCAGCTATGACGGTCAGAGGAGGTAACAAGGTAATCATATCTAACATTTATTTAAGTGGCTAGTAAAAGTGCTTGAAAAGGTTGGGACTGAAGCACATCTATTGCTGACAAGTTGAGATGGCACCACTGCTTTCAGTTTTATGGAAAAGTAAACAAATTAATGTGTAGACTTGTTAATAAGATCTGAATCTTTGTGACAATTGTATGTTAATACAATTATTAATTTATGGAATATTAACCATAATCCTGCTTTTTAATTAAAAACAACGTTTAAGAGACAGAATCCAGTCTCCAAAATGTTGCTTCAGACTAGAGATAGGGACTAGTTGTATCAATTGGGTTGAACTGAGTGGGCTTTTGCCTGAGGACGCAGACAGAGTTCATTTACCAAAATATTGTTTTTTAAATAATACAACAGGCTGATGGATAATGTCCAAGAAATTAGTAACTATACTTTGTTGAATATGAGGTTCTCATAGTGATGGTTATGAAGAGCTGTCTCTTGTGGGGTATAACACCATATAGTCAAAGAATGTTTTGGAGGAACATCTTCATGGTTGAAGAATAAGCTGAGCACAAAACCAACAAGAAAGCAGGTGGCAATGAGAGCCTCAATCAGGCAGACCCTGAAGATGGAGGCGACATTTTCCTTTGAAACGTTAGTTGACTTTTAAGAGACTGCACAGTGTTATATCCCAGAATATATAACTCCTCAGTTGTAGATTTGTTCTTTAAATAAAACATCATCATCGTACTGAAATATGGAATAAATGTATTGACTTGTGGATCAATTTGTTCACCAAGACATGGTTCCCTGATTCCTTCAATTCTATTTTCACTGATCTTGTCTGTTTTACTGACTCATTAGTACAGCTGAACTCCAGCGTCTTCATTTCATTCTTTTCAATTAACCCCGATTTAAGACACCACTCATATCACCTTATTCTTCAATGTTCATCATTTTGTACTTGTTTGTTTGTTTGTTTGTTTGTTTGTTCGTTCGTTCTAAAGTTGGCACTAACTTTGGCGATAAGCAGCGGTCACTCTGTCGTTATAGTTTGCTGGCAGACTAAAACCACTGAGTTTCTTTTTGTTTGTTCTACTACTAATAGTAGTACCAGTTCACAGACTCGGTATTTTTCTAAGTACTCACCAGGGTAACTTTTACAAAACTTCTCTCCACTATTGTCTCTACAGTCTGGAAGTGGAAAAGTCTGCTGTATGAATAACAATTTCTGTTTATGTTATTCTCCCTTTCAGAAATGTTTATGATCCCATGTTCTAATAAGAACTCTGAATTTTCCTTCGTGTCTTGGTTTCAAAACAGTGAATAAATTCTAACTAATAATTCTTTGTCCCTAATCTTTACTCCCAACAACTTTATTTCCTATCTGACCACCTCCTTCCTTATCTTTGTTATGTTTCACAGAGCTCCAATCAATACATGTCTGATTGGGGGCCAACTCCTATAGCCTGCAACTGGAGGAGAAGTTTACATGACCATCTTGCCTAGAAGAGGAATTCATAATTAACTTCATAACTTAATTGCTTCAGAGACAAAGGAACAATCCAGCATAAAGACTTTATTAATTACACACATAAATAACACTGTTTGTCCTGTTGTCATTCACTCCATATGGAATAGAGCAGCATTAACCTGAATATAGCAGCAGACAGGAATCAGAGACAGAACCATTGGGACGACTCATTACTCACACTAATATTAATGGTAATACATATACTAATGTTGAAAATCAACTGCTTCACAATATGCACTACAGATCAAGTCACGTTGATTCTTAAGCCTTTCCATGAGATGAGCATATTTGTAGATGTCACTAGAGACACCTAGTGTAAAGGAGACAAAGAGAATGATTTGCAGTGTTGGGTCTTACCACATCTCAGTACTGTATAGTTAGCACTATAATGTATCTCTTATTTTTTCTTTGTAAGTGGTAGTATTCTAAAAAAATTGGCAGCATGGAGTTCTTTAACTCCATTTGATTTTCTTCCCAGAAGTTTTTGTGTGATAGTTGTCCATAATATGTCTGTATTTTCTGCATCAGTAAATTATGTATTAAAAGCCTGGGGAAAAAATAAGATTTTTAGAAACTGAATTAATGTTTTTAAACATAAATAGATTATTATGTGGTTATTTATTACTACAGAACCACCCTCTTTTCTTTGCCAGTGATTAAAATAATGAGAAAGTGAAGTAAACCTACTGAAATGTGTGAAGTTTGTACTAATGCCTCCACACTGTTGTGTAGCATTTGTAACATGCACCTTACAGTGCACAGAAAATGCTTTAAACAACAAACATTCCTTTGACCACTCTAATGAGAACCCAATTTCTTACTTCAAATCAGCTGAGAGATGAGATTTAACAAGGGACATTTTGACAAAAGATGAATGATATACATAGTACACAACATTCTGTACTCTATTGCTAACCAAAGCATCCCATTAAAAATGAATGACTTAGGTGCATAAATACTGACGCAGTTTATTACCCATTTAGAGTTTTGGCTTAAAATGTTTATACATATATATATAAATATATATTTAGTTGTAAGGTAGTATGTCTTGTTGAGCTATCTGCATTGATTTATCTTTCTATATCAAGGAATGGGGACTCTTATTTATTGAGTGATATTAAAAGCTTATGTTTGTTAGCCATTGCTCTAGACCGTCCAATGCTTCACTCACACACTTAGCTTAGTCTGCTTAATAAATCTTCATCCTGGAGAATGTACATAACATCATATATTATTTCCAACACAGTGCAATCACTGCAGTACAAGTATTATATTCAAGTATTTGCAACAGTAGTGCCATGTCCCATGCTCAATTCTGCCATAACCCCACTGTCTTTGGTAGTTACAGTCATTGAGAGAAGTGGACAAAATTAGAGAGATTATGTAAAATAGTGCAAATTTTATATTGTGTCACATTCATATACTGTTCTCAAAATAAAGGAATGTTATCTTTCCAGCTTTATTTCGCTTGCATACTTAAAAAATACTTTTATATTTTATCAAAGAACTGTTCATGTTTGGGATAGTCTTATTTGAGATGAGACCTAATGATACAGTACTTTGTATTGACTAAATAAATTTGAGCATAATATCAAGTGCAAAGTTTTCCAGCAGAATACCAAAAATAACTCACAGGATGTGGGATGTGCCATTTTGATTTTAGTTGGATGCTGTGTTGCATAACACCCTGTGGCTAGCTGTTTGAATCCCTCATTGCTAGCAACAAGCACAGATTGTTTGCCAGAAGCTATTCGTTATCATTGAGATGTAAGTGTATACTCATTTTAACTATAACAGTGTATCAGTGTGCCCAGTTTTTATAAGTAATGTAACATTTTATTCGTGTGTCCTTTGTTTTCTTGGTCAGTAGAAAACAGTAAACTAATGATCAATGTACTTTTGCTAACTGAACTGGTAGTTTTGGAGAAAGAGATGCATTCGGCATAGACCAACATTTGGTAGCATGTTTTGTGTGATTTTATTGTTCAGATACTGTAGAAACGGTGGGAATTTTGGAAGTAGGAATGTTTTAACTCGAGCAATGCTGAACAAATCCATGTAAATAAATCCTAGACTTATTTCTCTTTCTTCCAATCAGTTTGGAATCTCTTAATGCCAAAGGCAATTAGTTGCTTTCCTAATGTATCAAGTAGAAAAGGGAAAATGGAAGAGGACGTAACTATGGTAAAATGTTGTAAAACATAGATATTGTGTAAGTAATTGAAATAAAGTTGTATACTATTCCTCATGCCCTTTTGTTCCCGTCTGCAAGACATCTGTGAGACTGCGGTGTATGTATTGTTTAATTGATGTACTTTACAGGGACAAGAAATTAAAAAATACTTAAAATTATATGAACACATATACGTATGTATGCAAAACTCTTTATTTTATAATACAGAACAGGTATAATCTTAACTTCATTTTCAGGTGGTTTATGAAGAACAATAAATACTGTTTCTAGGAATCTATTCTGTAGATGAACAAAAAAATATGGCAACTTGTGTGGCAATAAAATTATCTATAGATTTTTCAGTCTTCACTCGTCCAAAAGGCTGATTATTAACTGGTGTATATGTTTTAAAAAATTATAATTAATAAAAATATTAAACAATGCTTTACTTCATTCATTAACAACTATCATCTGAAGTGGTGCACTGCATATGGTATTATGTTACCTATAATTACATGGAGTGATAATAAATAAGGTATTTAAAGCGGTTTTCTATGGTCTCAAAGTGTTTTATCAGCAGCAGCCATTCCTATGATATACTGGCTTTTATTGCTATTTTGAAAATTGAATTCACCTATTTTAACTAAAGATGCCTCACTAACTGCAGAAACATGTGTCAGATTGCAAAAACAAAACAAACTCTGTGAACTGTAATCTGAAAAGGCTTGAAAGGATTCTGACGATGGTGTATACTGTACTTCTTTTGGNGTCTGCAAGCAAACTATACTGACTGCCTCTGTGGTCTAGTGGTCAGAGTTCCTGGCTACAGATCCAGAAGTCCCAGGTTCGATTCCTGGCGCTACCAGATTTTCTGAGAAATAGTGGGTCTGGAACAGGGTCCATTCAGCCTCATGAGGATAACTGAGGAGCTCTTTCAAGGAAATAGTGGCTCCGGTCTACAAAACCAAGATTAACGGCTATGGGGATCCGTTGACTGACCACATGACACTCTCTATCTGCTAATGTTGGCACTAACTTCGCCATAAAGTGGCTGTTACTCAGTCGGTGTCAGATTGCATGTGTTATTTAACCTGTGTGTGCGTGTAGATGTCTCACATTGTATGTAGGTGTCTCAGACTGTCGGTACATTGCTCAGTTTGTTATATTGAGATCTCTAAGATATTTTAGCTGTGTATGATTTTGAATTGTATGTAGGTGTCTTATGACTGTATTGGTGTCTCAGACTGTGCCTGGATGACTACACGCAGGTGTGTCAGGCTGTCTGTGAGAGCCCCAAACAATACAAGCACTTCTCAGACTATATGCTGTTGTCTCAAAATGTATGTAGACACCTCAGATTATATGCAAGTGTCTTGACTACTTGCAGGTATCTCAAATTACATGTGGAGGCCACAGAAATCTCATAGTGCACGTGAGTGTGTCATACTGTTCTTGGCATTTCACATAGATAGTGGAAATCTTGAAACGATTATTGTGGCACCATGAGTCATATGTTTCTAATTTGGATGTATACAGTTTTGTGATACTGCAGTGACCATTTAGCACAGAGTGATAATTATATGTGTCGTCTACTGTAACATAACTTGCATCCTGACCACATAATGTATTGTCACATGTAGGGTGATGCAAATAATTTGTTCTGGTTTGGATGATTGGATTTGTCAGCACTTGGTTACACACTGTAGCTGATTTACACAATTTACAGTTCACCATTGCACATGCACTAGGATTCTCTGTCTTCACTAGTCATCTCTTGGCAATGGATCTTAACACAGAAACTAGAGCTTTAAATTACTCTGTACTCCTCTGTCCTAATATGTATTTAATTAATTTTTACAATATACTAAGGACATGCTCCATTCTCATGCTTCTACTCTCAACTGCTGAACCTTTCAGGACTCTCCTTAGCTGCAATTGGACTTGTGTTATGTAGGTCAGTTCAGTGACTATGGAAGAGTACCCTGGGATGAACAGATACACATGTGCACATTGACACAGGCATGCATGCACTGGCAGAAACACACCCACACTGACACATGCATACACATAAGGACAATACTAAAACACAGAGACAGTTGACGCAGTACAAAGCAAGGGAGAACGATGCTGTGTGTATCTGTGGGAGGTTTCAAAAGCTGAGCTCCATGGCAAATCACATAGGTATCAGTATGTGAGGTGTGACAATAAAGTTCGCCAACTTGCCACCGTGTGCTTGTCATGGCAGCAGTGGACGGAAACCTCAGTATGGTCTGATGACATTTGCATATCAGCGTTTCACAGCTATGTTGCAGTTGATCTATGGTAGTGTCTTTCTGAGCAGCTTCTATTATTGTGTGTGTTCTGGTTAGCCATCATGAGAATTTTGGAGCTCAAATTAGAGCACTCTGAGAGAGTTTTTAGCTTGTAAACAAATAACTGTGCTGGAACACACAGGATCTAACCCTCAGTAACTTTTTCTGTTCCCAAAGATAAAGGAAATATTGAAAGGAAGGCATTTTGATGACACTGACTTCAGGAGTAATATGATGGCAGCTCTGAAGCCCATTCCACAAAATCAGTTCCAAAATTGTTTTGAGGGGTGGACTAGGCGCTGGCATCAGTGCTTTGAAGGCACTCACAGTGATCAGATATAACTAGAAGTGGGGGGGGGGCACAACATACATCCATCCACAGACAGGATTCCCCAGAACCTCTCTGATAATGTTGGGGGAGGGCTTTGGTGTGCACTGCCTGATTCAGGGCAGGACGGAGGTGTGCGTCTCACCCACTAGGATCACCATGGCCCAGTGGCTTGATGGCTGCTGGCAAAAAGTGGCAAGCTGACCATCCAACAGTGGCCATCAGAGAAGCAGACATGGTACCATGGACTTTTCACCCATTTCAGATCAGGTGGGAAATCCAGGTACCCTGTGAATGGCGTGGCAAGTCTGGTTCAGGCCTTTCTCCAAGATAAGGACATACAGTGCACTTCTTTTCATTGGTTATTTAACAGTGCAATGTCAGATGGGTGATTTAATTGAGATAACTATCCTGCCATTTTCCTGTCAGAGTATTTTATTGTTCCCATTTTGAGGAATAAAGAAGTAAAATGTAAATATCAGTTGGTCTGAAGAACAAGTGTTGTGTATTTGTGCAATATGAATATGTAACTTGTCTCATCTTTGAGAATAAAACTTATTTAAGGTTAAAGAAAACAGGAAAATGTACTTTTGAGGGTACAGTATAAAGAAGTTCTTTATTTGCTCATGACGCTTCTAGGTATATGCAGAAACAGGTGACAATGCATTGTAAATCAAGCAAACATCTCTTACAAATCAGGGAACTGCATCAGCTTCAATAGCACTTTTCACAGTGCACCGTTTGACATGTACTGGTATGCTAGAGACTTTCTGGATACCTATAACATTTATTCAATATCTCTCTTATGTAAACATTCTGCAAAATGCCTCCAAAATCCTGTAGACAGAAGAAGTGTAGTGCAGTTGGTATAGCAACTGGCTATGGGCTGGACATTCAAAGGGGTTGGTGTTTGCTTCCTTTTCCCCTCTCCATGTCATCCAGACTGGCTGTAGGGCCCATCCAGCCTCCTCATCTATTAGTACTGGGGCTAAAGCAGCTGGAGCGTGAAGATGACCACTCACCTCCAACTAGTGCTGAGGTCAAGAATATTTACATCTATACATCCAATCCCCACAGGTCTTCATAGTGTAGTTTAATTAGTTACGCATGGAAACAACTTTACCTTCACCGCCACAATAAATAAATTAGTCTTTAAAGTGAATCAGACTAAACTAAAATTTAGTGTAGAACTTAACTGACTTTCATCAAAATTGGTTTTCTTGTTTGATAGCAACTGCTCAGACAGAACAAATGGGTATTTTCTGAAATTTACAAGCACGCCTACATACCATAAATATGAATATTATGGTTTTCTGGAAAGTGATGTCATGTACCAACATTCTGAATGAATATTATATTGTAGCATCCTGTTGCATTTTTCATATAGAGTTTTTAATTAGTTCTACATTATTATGTACAACAGTTTATTAAAACTTAAAAAAAAAAAGCTAGTCATTTTAGAAGTTAAGTTTTCACAACATGTTCTAACCAAAGTGATCATCCTCAGGTTTTAAAAGTTGTGAAGAAACTGCTGTCTTTCTGCGTTGATGTTCACCTGTTGATATATGGTTCCCCTAGTGCACGTGTCTGCACTGTCCCGTTGTCTGTAACAAGTGTAAATCTTCTATTAGAATTTATGTTTGTGAAGTTTCTGTATAACTTTACTTGGTTTGACCACCTCTATGGTCTAGTGGTTCCTGACTACAGATCCAAAGGTCCGGGTTCAATTCCCGGGGCTACCAGATTTTTTGAGTAGTGGGTCTGGAATGGGGTCCACTCAGCCTCATGAGGAGCTATTTCAGGGAAATAGCAGCTCCAATCTAGAAAACCGAAATTAACGGCTGTGGGGATTCATTGCGCTGACCACGCAGCACCCTCTATCCGCTAAAGTTCGCACTAACTTTGCTGACAAGCGGCGGTTGCACAGTTGGTATAGTTGACTTGCAGACTAAAACCATGGACTTTCTAGTTTGTGTACTTACATTCTTCCTTGTTGTGTTGTGTTCCCCATCATATTATGTTCCTTGTCTTGTTTTCAACTTCCTGTTGAGATGGACTGTTTCTTATTCTTATAACATTTGTCTGTCGCTATCTGGTGTTCAGTTCTTGTATTATCTTGAATATTGGGTGTGTGTTGTTCCTATAAAATAAAGGAGGATTACACATGAATGACACATACATCAACCCATATAACCCAATATTTGAGGTAATACAAGAACAGAGCACCAGATAGCAACAAATAAACATTATAAGAACCAGTCCAACTCAACAAACAGTTCAAACCAAGACAAGGGACCTAATACAACTGGGAACATAACACAATATGGAGGAATGTTAATTATACAAACACATACACTTCACAAACATAAATTCTAACAGATTACACTTGTTAGAGACACATGTGCACTATGGGAACCACATATTAATGGCTAAACATCAACACAGAAAGACAGCAGTTTCCTCACTCACAACTTTTAACACCTGATGATGGCCACTTTGGTTGAAAAATATTGTGAAAATTTTTGAAGTGACTTAACTTATATTAAATTTTAATAAATTGTTGCATACAAGACTGTAGAACTAATTAAAAACACTATTCTGAATGAACATGATGCTTCTGAAACACTAGAAGGTATCCACTAAATTACATGGTGTCACATCCCAGAAGACTGAAATGTTAATACCACCATGAGAACCTCAAATAAAATAATCATAAAATTTACTGGAAATAACAGTTTCTTTATTAAACACAGTATACACATAATATATACTGAAAAAATAATGCTTTCACAGAAAAAATGCTCATACTTTGGAATTCACATATTAAACAGTTGAATTGCTGTTTCTGATTTCTATAACATAATAACATGACCTGAGTACCAATATCACTGCATTATCTAAACCCAGACTGGAATATCCTGTGATGCACACTCCTTGTTAGAAGTTCACAACAGAACGGATACTGCAACAGAGGGAGAAGAGTCATGTTAGAATAATGAAACAAATAAAATCCTTTATGAAACAGCACAGTGACTCAGTAAACACAATTGTTCCAGCTGATGTTCATTATGCTGCATGGCCCATGATATATGAAAAGTTTAAGAGTCCCACTATAAGAAATTTAAAATGCATTACAAAGTGGAGTCCACAATTATCAGACTGACATTTCTACTTTAACCTGAAAAAGTGCAATGCATTACTGAATATATATTTCTGAATTCTCGATTTTTCATATTCTGCTTTATTTACATCTGTAACAGTAAATGTGTATTACTGAACACCCAGTATTTGCTAGAATCAAAATGCTTGTGTGGTAGCATTTGTTATTTTGATGTTTTAACTTTAATAAGTAGAATGTCCATGCATGTTTTGTGCACCAGCATATCAACAAACCTCTTTCCAGAATGCATCAAGTCAAAGGCTTCATTAATATTCTCAAAAGGCATGTTATGAGTCACGAATTCATCCAACATAATCTTTTTATTCAAGTATTCATCCACCAGCTTTGGGACACTGTCCCTGCTCTTCCATCCTAAAAAGAAGACAATGTATGTTATGGTAACTCACTGACAAAAGCAACTGTATTTATCATAATTATAATTTCCACGTTTGTTTGCAAAAAGTAATTGAAAGAAGTCACTATGTTCTGCAATAAAAACCACGTAGTCTGGCAGAAGGGCATTGACATTTTTGGGAACAGTCTGCCTTCACCTCCAGGCTTGAAAAGTAAGTCAAGCAAGAACTAGGCAGCAAGCAGAGCACAGCTGTTGCTCATATCTTGCTTGGTTTCATCTCTGACTTTGAAGATGGAAGCAGTACATCTGCAATGTTGGTGAACTTCTACTGGGTTACACAGCATTGCATTCCAGAATACAGAACTCACCAGTCTTCTAAACTGCAATTTTGTATCATGTCAAAAGATCTCACATTGTAAGTTAATTTAAGTTCACCACAGTCATACCACATATCATAATCAAGTGGTCAGCACTCCCGCTTCATATTCAGGAGATTCTGGATTTGAAACTCAGCCCCGAGATCAAGTGTCTTAGCTGAGGTTTTGTTGTGGCTGTCTCTTGTGGCACACACAACCCTGTAACCCGATGCTGTATAATCTAGACAGTTGAAAAAATGCCATTAAATAAATCAAGAGTCAATCAACTTGTACAGTTCTCCTGCATGCTGTAACATTCGGTGTTTGTCTTTTTGGAGAGGATCTAATCTCTGTCCTGAAAATTTTTAGAATATCTATACACTTACAAAGAGTTAACATACAACTGAATAATTTTGAGTCACCTCCAAATGCAGTCCCTTTCCATGTGCGACCTGTAACCAGTTGGAATGGGCGTGTGCTAATCTCCTGGCCTGAGCCAGCCACTCCCACAATCACAGACGTGCCCCATCCCTTATGGCATGACTCAAGAGCTGCCCTCATTGTTCCTACATTACCCACACACTCAAATGTGTAGTCAAGGCCTCCATCAGTTAATTCAATCATCACCTGCTGGATTGGCTTCTCATGATCTTTGGGATTCACAAATTCAGTGCAACCAAATTTCTTTGCTGCAACAGAAAACCAAATACCAACATGTTCATGGTCATGTCTAATAATATTAAGCTTCTTGCCCTCCACAACACATTTCTGGAGACATGTGACCTTAAGTTTTATTCTTACACTTCTTCCTATCTGAAACACAGGCCTATGTATTTAGATTAATTGTAATTCCTAAAGCACTTGGGTTAATTGCATAATTTTATTCCTTGTTTATGTTTAATGAAGCAATACACCGACTAATGCAATCATTAAGTCAGTCACTTATAAGAAAATGGGTAAATGTGCAAAGAATAAAATAGATTATGTATGTGAGACAATTTACTTGAAGCTTTTGTGTGAAATTACATGTCTCAGTGCATATGACCAACATACTTGGATCCAAAAGAGGCTAAACAACCTTAATTCTTTAGGTGCACAGAGATGGAAAAATGAAAGGGAATAAATTATTTCAGCCACTTCCCACAAAAAAAAAAAAAAGTGCATTTCATACTTTCAGCTGACACCGTCCACTTACATTTCTTTTTGGTACAGTCTAAACAGAAAGTTACAAGATCATGACTGTTAGCTTTCACATGTCTCTCTGTTAAAATGTTTACAACTGAAGCTGTACAAGCATTTCTGTGCACATACTGAGTGTAACTCACTAAATATTATCAGAGTAAAAAATTTCAAATGGAAGTTGTACATTAAAACAAAATACACATTAAGATCTTTCTTTAACTATTATGGCCTTCGAGGCAGTTCAACTCAAGTGATTATTATGCTGTATCATCTCATAACTTTGGCCCAGAAGTTGGCATTTGTAAACTCGAAACTTAGATGCAATAAGAAGGTTAACATTATCATTATGCTATGCATACATTCCTCACAATTTAATTACACACATAAAAACCTGGAAGAAAATAATATGCAGTTTAAATAGGAAACACAATAACTTATACAGAGACACTGGTAACACATGCTAGCACGAGTTGATTCATATTATGTGTGTTATTCAAGTTATTTTATAATACTGCATAGCAACAGATGGGAAATGACATCATGACAACTGGTGAGTCAGCAGAGATGTGAAAAGAACATCAGGATGCTTGAAGGCACTATACATATATTTATTTAAGAGGTTCCAGAATTAACCCCGGGGAACTTCAGTCAGAATAGCCAGTTCCTGATGATTTGAGCCAAGTTCCTCCAGAATACAATAATCTAACCTGGCAATTACATGGTGGGAGTGCAGAGAACACAAAACCAGGTACCTCATGAATTTAACCCACACTGCATTACCACTTGTCCTAACCCGCCATCCTACTCATTATGCCTTACCTATTTCAAATTTTGCAGGGTTCACATCAATGCCTATGATCCTTTTGGCACCAGCAGCTCGACAGCCCATAGCCACAGCAAGGCCAACAGCTCCCAGACCCCAGATGGCACAATTTGAGCCTGCCTCCACCTTAGCTGCATTAAGGGCAGCACCATATCCCGTGGTAATTCCACAACCCAACAAACACACCTTGTCTAAAGGAGCTGTTTCACTAATCTGTTATATTACAAAAATTATGTTTTCAGATACTTGAAATAATGCTTCTTATCAGAGTTATAATTACTATGATTTTTAAGATTATGGTATCCTAGGACATGACACTGTGTAGTTTGGCAGATGAGTACCAATGTTTTGGTGGAATCTTCTGCCTCCATCTTCAGGAGAGAACATGACTTACTCTAAAGATGAAGGCCGTGCCATAGCTCAAGCGGTTAATCGCTAGCTTCCCACTACGGCGGCCAGGGTCTGGTCAAGTGGGATTTGTGGTGGACAAAGTGGCGCTGGGGCAGGGTTTCTCTGAGTACTTTAGTTTCCCCTGCCAATCTTCATTCCACCAAATTCTCTATCAAAATCACCCGGGGAAGACTACAATAGGCAAATCAGTGGCCGCCGTGCCGAGTGGACACAGTTGGACTCCACCCCCCACTAAATGAATTTAAAAAAAAAATTACTCTAAAGATGGAGGCAACAGGTTTCTCCAAAACACTTACGCCTGTCTGCCAAACTACATGACATCAGTAAACCTCAAACCTTCTTATTCTTGCTTGAACATGCAAATTTTCATAGATATAGTCTGCATCAGGTCCCCCCATAAAATAAATACCATCATGTCTACAGTTTTATGTAATAAATGTAATATATTATGAACATAAAGACTGGCTCTGTGGTCTAGCAGTCAGAGTTCCTGCCTACAGATCCAGAGGTCCTGGGTAGGATTCCTGGCATTACCAGATTCTCTGAGAAGTAGTGGGTCTGGAACGGAGTCCACTCAGCCTCGTGAGGATAAATGAGGAGCTATCTGAAGGAAATAGCAGCTGCGTTCTAGAAAACCGAGATTAACAGCCATGGGGATGCGCTGTGCTGACTACATGACATTTTCTATTCGCTACAGTTGGCACTAACTTCGACCACAAGTGGCAGTCGCTCGGTCAGTATAGTTCGCTTGCGGACTAAAGCCACGGAGTTTTTTTTTATTATGAACCTAAAGATATAAGCTTTGACATGACCTTTGTTTCCTCTCCAAGACATAACACTGGCATAAATTCAGAATATTTTCTTACATGCCAGTGGTTCAGCGATTTATTCCCTTGGAAACAAAATAAACACTGCCAGATATTTTATATATTCCATTAATTATTGTGATACCACCTCTGTACACTCCATTTCTTCTCACATACATCTTGTAATCTTGCCTTGTATTAACAAACAGCTGCAAATTACAGTGAAACCTCGCTAAGTCAGAATTTGTGATAATTCATTTCTTTTTGTGTGCATTACAACCTTCATTATCATAGAGCTGCTACCTAAAATGTTTTCAAGACTGACGTCAAAACTTACATTTTATGACAAGTATATTTATTTTATGATATGCAATCTAAGTTTCAAAATAAAGTTGTATTACTTGAAAAGACATGTTAAATCCGTTTTATAACTTCCCTGAACATATTTTCAGCGGCACTTTATTATTCAGACTTTCACGAATCTGGATAATGGTTCAGTCTCAATTAGTCTAAATTACTGAAGTCTTACTGTATTCTGAATCATCTCAGATGCAAAAAGTGGGCAGAATTTTTAAAAATGTTTTCATTCTAGACTGAATTTCTACATATAAACCCTTCACTGATTCAATCTCATCAAAATATTATCAACAACGGGGTGTTTCCTTTTACACGCTAAGTCTGAAACTTCAATGGTGACTGATGCAATGATGCCTTTCACTGCCACCTGGCACTCCAATCTGTAACTGCTAATAACCCTGAATGCTACATAACAACAGATTGGCAAGCCTTAAAGACTTTTAGAGATATAGATGGGAAGGTTCATCCTAATTCTGGGCATCAGTACAACGAAGCATATGATTAGCACTTTGTTTTATTTAATGAAGCTCCTTCTATGCTATGTCATGTCACACTGAACAGTAGAATCTGTGAATGACAAACTGGAAGATATGGAATGAACAGACTCCCAGCATTTGACTTTAAAGGCTGAGGGACACCATAGAGAAACACAGTTTGGCTAGCTTCCTCTCCTCCAAGATATGAACCGCTAATCTTCCAAATATGAAGTAAAATGCTAACCACTAAACCACAACATACTACATCAGTATTTAAGATCATCATATTGGCCTCCTGAAAACTAAATTAGACAAATTGTAGATGCTCACCTTAGCAACAGAAATCTCTGCTACAACAGTGTATTCACTGAATGTGGAGCAGCCCATGAAGTGGTACAAAGATTTGCCTTTGCATGTGAAGCGAGTTGTGCCATCAGGCATTAAGCCTTGGCCCTGTAATGTATATTAGCAATATTTCAGAGTCTACCTGCTTGGAAAACATCAGCAAATGATAATCTTTGAGAAATGGTTCACATGAGAACTGTTTCTGCATACTACCTGAGTTGTACGAATTTTACCACAAAGATTCGTTTTTGGCGAATTGCAGAACTTGCAGTCTCCACACTGGGGTATATACAATGGAATCACATGGTCTCCTGAAATTGATGTAGTTCATTAACCCTCAAAATATCAACAAGAAATGCCAAAACTTCAGCTTTGCTGTTATCTTGGGGGCAAAATGTGTAGGACAATTTATAATATAGAACCATGAAAACAACAATCAAATTCAATATACCTTCTTTCACTGCAGTGACACCTTCACCCACACTTTCTACTATTCCTCCACCTTCATGTCCCAGTACACAAGGGAAAACACCTTCAGGATCTAATCCATCTAAGGTGTAAGCATCTGTATGGCATATAGCAGTCGATAAAATCTTGATACGGACTTCACCTGCTTTTGGTGGTGCCACTTCTATTGTCTCTATAGAAAGAGGCTTCTTCTCTTCCCATGCCACAGCAGCACAGCATGAGATTACCTGTCAATAATAAAAAGCATGTCAAATTATTTCACATATTAATTACATATAATTATGTTTCCTTCTTTGTAACCAAGTATTCTGGTTTTAAACTTAATAACTTTTGAATTACTGGAATTGTGGGTCAAAACATTAAAAATTGTACATATATGTTGCTAGTTGGTCTCTTCTGACAGTCATAATAAATATATGATTTAAAGACAACAAGTGACCCCTGGTCCCGATATGTTTCGCTTAGTGGTGATAAAGGCAATCAGTTTCAATCTCAACCTCCTCCCCACACACAGACACATGAGGCCTATACTATAACTGTTCTTCATAAATATTTCATGAACTCTACATCTGACAGAACACTGCCCAAGAGCATCAGTCACCACCGGTACGACTGACTACATTCAAATTACAACTTCAGAATTATCAAACATGCTATGTTTGCAATCACTGCCATGCCAAATATGTCTGAGAGTGGGGGCTGCTTTAATTTCACTCAAACATCATTAGTATCATTAGCAACTAGTGAGGAATGTGAACATTCCTCCCATCTGGTTATAATGATGTTCGCGCCACTGCTCATGACATAACATACACCTACGGGCTGAAGTCGTGTAAGTCACAATAACCGGCAACGCGTTCCGAATCAGAGAAATCCTGGATGTGAATTATGTTGGTACTAACAAAAACAACACTACTACATTATCAGCAGAACAGCTTCATTGGTACGTACGGCGTGTTACTTTTGTAACCAATTACTTTCAACAATAACACATATACAACTTATTTATTTGACCGTCACAACACACCATAAAAACACATGTTACCATTCAAAGTATATTACTGCCGTAGAGCATTCACAAAACCAGAAATAATTCATTTTATAATTTCCATTCGTTTATGGTTCGGTATATACACATGCACAAAGCTTCAAAGTTTTGTAGAGCTATTATATAATTCAATCGTGATCGATCGTGATGCCCAAAGAAAGATGCACAAGGACAAACTCGGAGGTTCTCAGATTCGTACATATTACTTGCGTTCAGTTTTCATGCATTATTTAAGTCAGGCTTAAAAATTTGAATACCTTGCCAACAGTAGATGACATTGCGAAAATATGTGGGAATAACAATTCAACTGCAGAACCACAACGCACCTACTTAATGAACGACAGTTAACTACGACCACTACGACCGATTACGACTAGCATAGGAACTGGTGCCAACTTTAGCGGACAGAGGGTGTCGCGTGGTCGCGCAACTGATCCCCAGCGCCGTTTTTTATTTATTTTTTAAATTCTATAAATCCTTTTTGGCCAAGCCTAGGATGTAGAACAAGTCACTATCGGTCACTATTAAATCAAAACATATACAAGAACAGTTCATAAAATAAAAACTCGGTTTTCTATACCGAAGCCGTCGTTTCCATGAAATAGCTTCTCAATTATCCTCACGAGGCTGAGTGGACCCCGTTCTCAGAAAAACTGGTAGCGCCAGGAATCGAACCCTGGACATCTGGATCTGTATACAGGAACTTAGACCACAGTGGCGGTCGCTCGGTCGGTATAGTTCGCTTGCGGACTACAGGCCACTAAGTTTACGAACCGGTGCGTCTGCGGTTTGGTTGTCGTCGTAGTCAGTTATGCAACGTAATTGACGTAGTTGTGTCGGTTGTGGCTTATACCGTGTTACAGAATGTATCTCGAAGAATTAGTACACAGTGAAAATCATTCGATGTTAATATGCATGTTTGCATTGTAATGAACATATCGACATATAAAGAATATTGCTGTACATTTTAATCGTGTACGTCCCGTGCTAAGGCAAAGGGACATTCGAAGAATTTTTAACGTGTAAGGGGTGTACAGCAATTTCAGATGTAAGAATGGTCACAATGAACCTCTCGTAGTGGTAATCCAGTAAATGTAATGAGGAATAATGATGGTCGTCTTATATAATTGCTAGAAATGTGTACTATGTTTTCATTTAATCACAGGGTCGGGTAATAACACAGCGAATATGAAAGAAGCAGTAACTTAATTGTTAATAAGGTTAATTACGTTTGACCTCCACAATGCCCTGCTAAGTGGGCAAGATTTACTCATGACACAGCATTTCGAGTAAATACTGGTTTAGTGATATTGTTTGTTAATTTCCTACAGTTACCTTTAGGGGTTGGTTGATACAAACATTTTTTTACAAATGAGAAACTAGATGGACAGAGTTTTGAGTACGTGATTTGTGCATTTTTTCCTGTTTCTCCCAAAGGTCACATTTAAGCAGAATGAATATTGTGATAAATTCAGCACATTACTTTGTGTTTTGGGGGCCATACTTGGTACCAAATGGACAACTTCTTGGGCGGGAAACGTCCTTGAATTTGGCTCAGTGACCTCCTATGGAGATATGAGGTTCTTTTACATGCCGTAAAGCTACGACACGGGACACAGGGCTTAAAGTCCCTCCCGGAGGACTTGTTCCCTGAATTTTTCCGCGCTTAAAAATTCGAAGACTTCCGCCGGGTTTGAACCCGCGTACCACGAGTCATGAGGTGGGAACGTTACCTCTAGCCTACAGAGGCCGCTAATAATTTGGACAAGTTTAAAACCAATAACTCTGTATATGTCATTGGTACCAGAAGGAATGTCCACCTTCATATACCTTCAACGCATTTATCGTCCTATCAGAGAGGGGTGTATTATTCATGCATCAAGCTATTTAATACTCTACTGTCAAATATCACAGTTTCAAAAAATGATAAAAAGCAATTTACGTTTGTTTTACAAAATGATTTGCAAAGTAACACATTTTACTCGATGAATTTGTTGAGCATGTAAGTGGCTCAAGAGTTAAGAGTTAATAAATGGTCTGTGCATGTGAATAATACATTGTTGAGACTTGCTTGTAAGTATAGTAGTATGTATGATGTCTGTCTTTTGTTATGAATTTTAATATTTTATAATGCAACTGTTTTAATGATAAAGGCTTGCCAGTGTGTGTGGAACGGCAAGGTGTGAATTTGACAGTAATTTTTCCACGACCCATGTGTGTTGTCCTGACAACTTGAGCTATCTGTGAGAGGCCTGATTATATATTTTATTGGACAAAGTACGAATGATGTGTAGTCATCATGAATTTGTAATATGTGACATGTTTTATACCCAGCCCTTTGCAGAGATGACTGGATCCATGAAATGATAAATGTAAATGTATCATTTTCATTCTGTGAACTTCAGTAAATGCTCTTTATTTAGAGAATGTTATTTACAGATACTGATTACACTGCACAATTAACAACCATTTTTTGGAGGTCATACTACCACTGCTTTCTACCAGATTTTGGATTGTTTCTTTTTGTCAGTTTTGGAACCACATTGATCACCATGAGAAGATTTGCTGCTGTAAATCCAAGCATTGCACCCGATGCACACGGAATTGGCCATTCCTGCCATGCACGGTCCCAGTCCAATGGAATCACAAATGCTCCCAACCAAGCACCAAACAGAGTCAGCTGTATATTTCTCAGTATTAATGTGCCCAGAATATCATTTGAAGGTTTCTGGCCAAAGATCAAATTGATAACAAAATTAGCCCCCATGTGTACGCATCCCGGAAATACTGTTAAAACACAAAGGAGAACACTCAACATGAAAGTTTCTTCATGCTTGCTGAACACTTGTGCTCCAAATAATACTGCTATAGTAAAGTAAACAGCTATCATGATAACAATTAATAGAGAGCTCTTCATTCCCTCTCTCATTCTGTTTTTTGTATTGTTCTTCTTACTAGACCCTATTATATATCTCTCATCATATCGCCCACCACCTGTTATATTTCTTTTCACAAGATAACACGTTCCAATCATGTATTTACCACATTCCATAACTAAAATAACTCCAATTACAGGAAAGAATGAATATTTTCCTATACTATATAAATAGTCTGTAAAGTACAGTACACTCATAATAATGGGGAAGTAAACACAAGTGACGCCACTATAAAATGCCACAAGTTTTTGACCATCTTCAACAGCTGACTGGAACATTGTCTAAAACAATAAAATAACTTCATTAATGGTTGGTGTATTACTATTGAGTTAAAACTTTGCAAAGCATGAATAATAAATTTGGATTACGCACAGCACTTTCCCACTTCAAAAGATGTAAATTACTAACAATACATACTTAGAAATTTCCTTAAGCCTTCATCACTGTTTTTCCCACAATATTCTAAATCTTTATCAGTTTCATGCAACATTTTATCAAACATTCTCCTTGCAAGGTTATCTCTATGCAAAGAAAATTACTGAAAATCATCTGCATTGATTCTGATCAACAGATAGTCTGTATCTGTCAGATACCGCAGAATAAGTGGGCATGCAATGTGTTAGTAATCACCTACGTCTAAACTTCGGAAAAGTACTGCACAACAGCATCTCTAAATATGGTGCATCCAAGAAACTGTTGACCTAATAAAATAATGCATTTAAACATAGGACAATACAAAATACAGATTAATATCTGTCTAAGGCATTTCTGATTCAGAATTATATGAAAAGTGAAGTGCTTATTCTCACTGCCTTTGAACTTACTATTAAGGACCAGAAAAATCTGGCACAACTGGATCTGAATGAAACACGTCAGCTACTGACCTAAGCTGATGGTATTAATCTACTGAGTAAAAAGATAAAAAATAAAAACAATATTTACTAGAGATTATGTAGATTGCTCTAGCAATATATGTAAACTGTGTACATATTCAAGTTGCATCACCACAATACTGAACTATATATATACACGAATAAGCAAATCAATTTTCTCAAAACGTGAGACAATTCGAATATCTGCAATAACTCCACTTGAGTCAAGATTGCTTTGAGTGTATCCAAACATTATTAGGCAGTGGTCATTTCCAACCCGCAAACAACTACATACCAAATGCATTCCTCATAATTTTAAAACAAACTTAAATGTTTGAATTTTAAAAAAATAAGATTTCTGAATCAGTTTAACTGGCATACTTGAATCGAGCTATTTGTGCATGGGCGTAAATTTACAAGTCTGGAAATGCAAATACCAATCATCGTATTCTTAAGTTGTTCAGGATTCTACACACTTCTCACCTAGCCTTAACAAAAACCAAACTAGAATTTTGCACCGAGTTCTGCTGTATACACTGACGTTTGTGTGGTGACCTTATTTTAACATGTTCGGGATTTCGGGATTCTGACAATTTTAGTTTAGACATAACCAAGACGACCAAGACCAACACCTTTCAACGTACATTTAACAACCAGACCCCACGGATGTCTAGATAGAAACACGGGTAGCCAATTCTGCGTCACTACCAAAACTTCCCTGGAATATGATCCGTGATAGGCTTCTTTCTCGGCAAAACTATGGAAACGTCTTGACTCTCCTGAGCATGGATTAGTGTTCCTGTAACAATAAATGGGTAATGCGCAGAAGTGTACGATTAAGAGCACTAAAAAACAAAGACCTTTCACATTCTAATGCTCACTCTGATTCCGAATGTTGTTCTGAGGCCGGAGATGCATTTCCGGATGCTTTACCAATTTCTAGATGTTCTAGACACTACGTTCCACGGATCAACTTCGTAGCTCATGTAGTGTGGTACAAGTAATATTTTTTGTTGATATGCCACCTTGGTTGACACGTGACTATGTGACACAAATGACAAAAATGGTGTTGAATTGTATGTTTAGGTTTTTGTGTGGTTGTGATTAACATTTTCTGACATCAGTTTCAGATTTAGGATTTGGTCTTCTGTTAGTGTGACGATGTAATAGCACATGTATATTTCCAACAATGGGAGGTAAACATAAACAGGCTCAGAGGACTAAAAATAATGCTAGGGTAAGTATAGTTCAAATTACATAACTAGGAAATATGATTGTTAACATATTGTGGCATGTAACCCCGTTGCTAGGCGACGAAAAGAAAAGTCTCAAACCTGAGATAGTAAAATATGGTCGCGAGTCCCAAGGGACTCTGACCCGAGAAAGGCTGCGCTGGCAAGGTTCAGCATCATATACAAATGGCAGACCCGTCCTGTTGTCAGAGAAGGCGCCCCACAAAAACAAGACTGTAACTGTCAAACAGCATTAAATGTGTGGTAATGAGCCCCCACAGAAGGACTTACTGACAGACTCACTGACTGTCAATCACAATGTAACTTTGACTTAAAAAGATAATCAGTAATGACTTATGCTTGTCCCGCCCGGGAATTAGTGGCAGACACCTAGCTCTTAAAATTGCAGCGCATGCAAAACAAGGTTTTGCACACCATATGAAATTTTCCAAGTCACATACCGGTCAATGACTTGCACACAGATTTCAATTTTTCATATGCATACAATTATATACCAAAATTGTGCAGGCAGCAAGTAGAAGTGTTATATGTGGGAAATATACACTTGATGAAAAGCCAAGCATATTCATAAGAGACAACCCCATCTTCTCATCAGAGAGGATGTTACATAAGGACTGTTACTGCAAGAGTTCAGCTGGGCATATTTGAGAATTTTGAGGGGAATTGCTTCAGCTGGGTGCTTTGATGCATTGTCTGCTGTTAAATTTTTAATGTCATTGTTCATTTCTATAATTGTTAAGAAATAAGTATTGACAAAGTTTGCTATGACTTTAGGATTTTTTAGTATGTTATCATTTATCTTTATTGAGGGATCTCTTTTTCTGTATAGTATTTACCTGTTTCCTGTTTGGATCTTTTCTTTCCACACTGATCCTTAGAGTAAAGGTAAGGTAAAGTTGTCCTTGTGCATATAATTAAGCACTACGCCATGAAGGCATATGGGTGAGTGGATGTATAGATCCAGATTTTCTTGACCTTGGCACTAGTTGGAGGTATATGTTCAGCTTCACGTCCTGCGCGCTTTACCCCCAGGGAAAGAGCCCCCAGTACTCATTGGATAAGAGGTTGGGTGGACACCAGAGTTGGCCTGGTTGACGTGGAGAAGAGAAAATTCTTGACCCTATATCAGAACTTGAACTCCATCCCCTCGGTCAGCCAGCCCATTGTCAGTCACTGTACCAGCTACAGTAACTATCATGGCTTCCCTGATCCTTCCAGTAACAGACATAATAGAAATAAAATTAGTCTATGATTGATTATCTTATTTATGGTTGGTTTCTGTTTCTTTTCACACCGATGCTTAAAGTAACGAATATATGCTTAACTTGAATGTTGGTTGTGACAAGTACCTCTTTTAAATGGAAGGTACAGTGTCACCTTATACGTGTTTTATGACTGATTTCATCATCATCAGTAATCTGTCAAGATGACAGGTCCACAGTCTCTTCCAAAACAATTCCTCCACTTAATGCGATCTAGAGCTTTCTCCTTCAAATGACAGTATCCTCTTCTGTCCCCAAGGTCATCCAGCATCTTCTTACGTCTTCTTCCTCGTCTTCTTGTCACTTCTATCCGCCCCTCTATCTTTCCTTCGATAACTTCTTTTAGAAGGCAGTTTCTGCGTAAAACATGACCAATCCAATTAGCCTTCTGTTTTCTTATTTCGTGTAGGATATTCCTCTGCTCACTGACTCTAATTAACACTTCTTCATTTCTCACATAATCGGTCCAACTGATCTTCTCCATCCTTCTCCAACACCACATTTCGAAACTTTCCAGATGTTTCTGATCTACTGCCCTAAGTGTCCATGTTTCAGCCCCATACAGAGCTATGCTCCAAATGTAGCCTTTCCCTTCCTCATTTCCTTGATAGCTTTTTCCACCTAACTTTGTAAAATATATATGGTCCTTTCCCGTCTGTATCTACCTCTTCTTCCGGTTCAACTTCTAAGGTTTCTGGCCGATTAGGTCGATCATATAGTTCTGTAATATAATTTTCCCAAATTTTCAGCACTTGCCTCTGATGTACTACTCTGACTGATTTCATATAGCAACAGTAATGTAATGTTTAGTATTACTTTATTTCTTGTAGCCATCAAGCAGCGGACGGAGTGCAGAGTTGCTTGGAAATTCAGCTGCAACATTTGTGGGTTTTACTGCAGCAAAGGATGGAGGTTTTGTGCCAGTTCTTCCTGGTTTTTCAGTCACATCTGAAGAATTTGATCCAAATCTTAATCCACATTTTCATCTGGTATTAAAGAAAATGGGCAAGAAGGATTCCACTACAAAACTGAAGGTATTTTTAATGTATTTTCTTTAATAAATTACTAAAAATTCTTTCAATGTTTCTATATTATTTTTTGTTAATCTGTTTGTAGGCCCTTCAGGAATTTTCAGAATTGATAAAAAATTCTGAATCAGAGGCTGTAAAAACAGTTCTGCCACTGTGGCCACGTCTATATTGCTGCTTGGCTGTGGATGTAGACCATCGTGTTCGTGAGGCTGCACATCAGGCCCAGAGAGCAGTAGTACTGAGAGCGAAACGTAATCTTGCTCCATATCTCCGTCAGTTGGCTGGTCCCTGGTTTACATCCCAGTATGATACTTATGCTCCAGCTGCTAGTGCTGCTTCTTTGGCATTCCAGGTTTTGTTTCAGTATTATTTGTATATTAGAATTAAATAAATTTGTTTTCAGCTGTTGTCAGTAAATTACCTTTTTATGGTTGTGACACCAAGACCTGTGCGAGAAACTCCTGGCAAGTCCCAATGGGTACACAAGTGATATCTTAGGAAAGAGGCTAAATATGACCCATGAGCAGACATGTCATTTTAAAGAATGCCTTTTTAGATTTGGGTCAAGTTGGTTGCTGTAGGCTAATTGTAACACCAACCTTATATTATGTCATATGATGCCAGAATAGGTTTCTGGTCTGACCATGAATGGTATGCGAGTATTTAAAGTTACATGTACCAGTTTTCAGCTGATAATGTTTACAAGTAGGTCATTGCTATTTTCTTCACTACCCGTCTAACACATTGTAACCTGAATTCAACCAGGACAACTGATCCAGCATCAATAAGTTGTGTAGAAACATTTCAGTTTATATAACATAATCGTGTAACATAACCTTTACTTCAAAAAGTATTGCCATAAACATAGTTATATGGATGATTCTGTAGTGTTTGACTTTTGTGAACATGGTAATTAACATTCAGATTCTGTAAAAGTGTGAGAGTGGTGACTAGTTGAGTAATGACTGACTGCTGAAGAATGGCTCATTATATGGAGTTACACTTTTTTCTTTTGTTTGTGTGATAAATTTTTTGAGCAAGTAAATGTTGAACGCGATGTTCCTAAAAAAGTGGCAGCCTTGATTGACTAAAATGTTCAAGAAATATCATTCTGGATGTAGATATAATAAAGAATCCCTGATACCAATGCCACCTAAGTCTGTAAATGGAAGGTCTTATTTTATAAGCCCGAAATGAGATGTAATGTAAGATGATTCATATGTCATAGTTGGACTATAAGTGATAGAAATAGGTTTCAGTTTTAATATTCATTAAAATTTTCCATATAAGGAAGAGTTCATAAAAGTTTGGTAGGCATGTAAGATATACAATTAGCGGCCTCCGTAGTCTAGGGGTAACATTCCCACCTCATGACTCAAGGTACGCGGGTTCAAACCTGGCGGAGGTCGTGGAATTTTTAAGGGCGGAAAAATTCAGGGAACAAGTCCTCCGGGAGGGACTTTAAACCATGGGTCCCATGTCGTAGCTTTACGGCACGTAAAAGAACCTCATGCCTCAAGGAGGCCTCTGAGCCAAATTATAACGGACATTTCCTGTCCAACAATAGTCTCTAACGCCTCTGGTAGATGGGGGAAGCATCTAGATACCGCTGAGCCAGTAGAGGCCGAACTCGCTGGCTGAGTCGGGACTGATGGTACGCACCAGTATTGGTAGGGTATAGAGACTGGTAGAATATCACGGGACGTACAATAGACCACTGGTCGCGGTGCATGGGGAAACCCACCCCCTCCAATAATAATAAATAATAATAATAATAATAAAGCTATGCAATTGATATTGATGAGACTTAGATCTTGCACCAAAATCAAACATAGTGAATTTTGACCATTACTGTCTTCAGGGATATCACATCCTATAATGATGGTAGAGGGGCACATGGGATCGAATCCTGATGAGGTGGATTTTCCAATTTACGTAATCATTCCAGCCGCACTATGGCCCTGGAGTTGACTCATCCTCTAACAGAAATGAGTACCAGGAATATTCTTGGGGCTAAAGGGCAGACAGCACGCAAGGCTGACAGCGTTACTGCCATCTATGAGCTGATGTGTCTAGAAAATATGGGAACCTCAACATCTCACAACCCTATGGGCTTCCACGTCCTGTTACAAGGATACCTTTACTTTCTTAATGGTGGTACATAGGTACCAATGTTTTGGAGGAACATGTTGTCTCCAGCTGCTTCTTATACTGTGAAGCTGAAGGCAGCACATTTCTCCAGTGCTGGTATTAATGTACTAATCTACAAAGCAAAGCATCCTATTGTGTAATAGTCACTATCATGAGAATGCCAGATCTCACAATGAATATGAGTTGAAACAGTTGAAAATTTAACTGTTTACTCATAGAAATGAAACTTTTTGATGTAGAGGTAATGCTTTAGACGTTTATTTGGAAGCTGATCCGTTAAAATCTTGACAGGGGCACTAGTTATACTGAACAAGATTTTTGTGCGTTTCCTCATACTGCCCAGGCAAATGCTGGGATAGTGCTTTGATCAGGCCATGGTCACTTCCTTCCAAATCCTTTTCACTACATCATTCGTCATCCAGCCATCTGATACAATATAGTTTTGTTCCTGAAAATGTCATTAAATAACCCACCAAAAAGAAAGAAAGAAAAAGAAAATTATTACAACAACCATTATTGTATTTGTTAAACTTCATAATATTTTCATGCATTTGGGTGATTGAGACACAGGTTTGAATTTGTAATTGGGTTTATTAACAACCTACGGGTCATAACTACAGACAGTTATTACACTCTTGCTGATTTACACAATTTACAATCATTCCACACTGATCTTCTCAGTCATGTTTCCACTAGTCTTCACTATCTGCTTCCTTGCAACGGATTTATAACACAGGAACTGTAAAAGTCTCACTAAATTACACACTCCCATTCCCACTGCACTATATTACACATGAAGTCTTCAATTCACAAGTTAACCCTTCTTCAAATACAAACTTCCCGTGGCTGTCTCATACTGAGAACTGTACTGTAGCGCTGATAGTCTTCAAGATAACTCGTCTGCACATACCTCACGGAAAACACTGTTTCCCATTGTTGTGGATGCATGTTGACTGCAGCATTGCCTGGCACGGACCACATAGAAAACACAGTTTCCCATCTGTTGTTACGGTTTGTTTACCTAGCCATTGCTCAGCAACATGTTGATCAAATCCATTACAATATATTTGTGGGCAATAAAACTTTTAGAAACAAGCAAAGGAGCAAATACATTTACAGCACAGTCACTCCTTAAGTGTTTCATGTCATATGAAGTGGTAAAAGGAGGTTTAATTGAGTGATGTGTCAGTGATATTATTATCAGACTAAAGTCAGTATTGTATTTTTGTGCATACAGGATGCCTTCCCTCCAAAGAAGATAACAGAAGCCATTATATTTTGTCAGGAAGAGATCCTGAATTACATCTTTGATAATCTTATAGTTCAGACAGCCCAGACATTGAGCAACCCAAAGTAAGTTTTTATACAAAAAGGTAAAAAAAAAAAAATGTAAAGTCCCTGTGCTTAACTAATTAAGCACTACACCATGAAGGCATATGGGGGAGTGGATATAAAGATTTTATGTTTCTTTCATATATTTTACAAGTTTTGTAAGTGGAATGGCCTCATTTTGTGTTTAACAGTTATTTAATATTTATTTTCTTCATTCATGTGTGATTTAACCCACATTCCATCTTGATAAACAAAGGTGCAGTGTAACTAATTATGTGATGTACAGTCATCCCTGGCCACCTGCAGGTTTTCTTACCATGGAATTCATGTTGACATGGTGCTCCTGCTGTATTCCAATTCTCAGGCACAGCATAGAAATGTACTTTCAAATCAGTCACATCCATATTGCCTCCATCCCATATTATGTATCAATCCATAAAATAAAAATTAACATCTTATGTCATTAAGGACTGTGACAGCAGAGGAAATGGAGGCCAAATATCAGCGTGTGGTTGTGAGCAGTTTGCAAGGCTATGCACTATACCTTCACAAGCTTCCTGCAGAACAACTCCAGGCTGTCCACCCAGCCAACAAGAAGCTCATTTCCTCCAAGAAGTTCTGGAAACTTGCAAAGCATACATCAGCATTGATCCGTAATGCTTGGTTCTCTGTACTTACTGCTTTGTGTCAGAAAGCACCTGATTTATTGACTGACGAAGGAGCTCGTGCAGCACTTGCTGTATTTGGTAATTTAGATGAGACTGACTCTACAGTATTGCCAACAGTCTGGGAAGCATCACTTCATGTGCTTACTGCTGTTCAGGTAAGCTTTTTAGCTTCTCCTTCAGTGTATTAGTAGCCTATAGACCAAGTATTTTGCATTAGACCAGTGTTTTCCAATTTAATTTGGCCACAGAACACTTTCACACCTACTTGTATAAGATTTTTATAAAGTAAAAAAAAATTAAAGTTGTCCCTGTGCTTAACTAATTAAGCACTATGCCTTGAAGGCATGTGGGGGAGGGGATGTATAGATTCACATTTTTCTTGACATAAGTCTTTTAAATTTAAATTTAAGCTTTAAGATCTGTTAATGAAATTCCCTTATATTAATTCCAAAAATTTGTGACCTCTGAATTTCACTATTGTGTTTTATGATTGCACAAGTGTTTTACAATGCCTCTACAGTAATGGTGTATTGAATTAAAATTTTGCTGTGCAAATGACGACAAAATTTTCAGGATTGCTGGCAGCATGTGAGTGCAGAGAAACTTGTACTACCTAAATTATGGCATATTCTTCGTGAGGGAGGAGAAGGCAATGCAGTCACGATCTTTCCAAACCTTCTTCCATTTCTTAGCAAGATCCCGTCTTCAGTATGCTCCAATAAGCAAGACTTCTATGACAAGTTTTTTGACAGCATACGTCATGGGTGAGATTATTTATCATTTCTCTTAATATGATTATTCCAAATTCACATGCTGAATTTATTACCAACTAGACATAATATGGTGCACAGTAGAATCCCAATTTAAGGTTTCTCATTGTAAGAGTTTCCTCATTTTTTGTTCTTCTTTGTGGTCTCAACCAGAGCCCAACTTCTCCTTCTCTTTGTCTTCTTCAGCATATCTTATTTAACACAAGTAACATCAGTAGTTAAAAGTTGTGTTACAGAGGTTAATAAATGAAAAGAAAATTGTGGTTAAATGTTGTATCATGAACCATAGCACATAAGTGTGTTAGAGGAATGAACCTCCAAACTTTTAAGAAATGGAATTAAATGTCCCAGAATTTAAGCCTTCAGACTTATTCTTCAAAATTCGATAGCCATAAGGAATTCATCTTCTAACCTGGCTACCTGTAAGTTCATGCTGAATGTGCATTTTGTTTTATTGTAGTTTAAGCCAGAAGTCTGTGGTGCAGAGTGCCGCAGAATGCAATGCTGTTGCCAGATGCTATATTGAGTGTCTCAGGTACATTGTGCTGCTCCATCTGAGTGAATCTGACTTCTGCCAGGCCCTTGTACAGAATCTTGTATGTATGATGACTGCATTTGTTTCAGTGGATTTACTAACATACGAAGTAACAATAAGTGTGATATGTAGGATTTGAGGTTCTCACAGAGGTGGCTCTGAAGAGTTCTGTCTTTTGGGGTATAATGCTATGTAGTCAGCCCATTGAAAGTCAATTGATGTTCCTCTGAAACATCAGTTGACTTTCTATGGACGACATGGCGTTATATCCCTGAACACAGAACTCTCAATAAGTGTGAGTGGAGTTGATGCATTCAGTATATTTTATAAATGAGGTTCTACAAAAAGAAACTGTGGTTTTAGTCCAAAAGCGAAATATACTGACTGAGCATCGGCAACATTAGAGCCAACTTTCGTGGATAGAGGGTGTCACGTGGTCAGCGCAACAAATCCCCACAGCCTTTAATTTCGGTTTTCTAGACCCGAGCTGCTATTTCCTTGAAATAGGTCCTCAATTATTCTCACGAGGCTGAGTGGACCCTGTTCCAGACCCACTACTTCTCAGAAAATCTGGTAGCACCAGAAACCGAAGCCAGACCTCTAGATCTGTAGCCAGGAACTCTGACCACTATACCACAGGGACGGTTATAAATGAGGTACTAACAGCACATTGGAAGGTTACAAGTATCATATTTCAGTGCATAGTTTACACACAGTTTTTGGCAACATTTTATGATCAGAAGCCTTTGTGCCTGTTTTATGTGACAATTTTTTAAAATTATATCATGAAAAGTATCTGTCTCTGCTTCTTTGCACGGAATCTAAACAGTTTCTTTGCAAAACTGAAACTGAACAGGGTTTATAGTAACAACAGATAGCTTCTTTTTTTTTAACTCTACATTGTATTTGCCAACTCTGTATTCAAATGTTTGTCATGTTTCTTTGCACAGTACAGTGTCTTGTCCATTACATTCACAGGGCTGCAAGGTCATGCTGCAAATTGTACTATGTAGCAGCAACTAAAAGTTATTCCTATCAGACTACTAAATATGATGCCTTCCCAATCATCCTGCTTGCCTAATTGCTTGAATTTCATATTTACATCTACATGTGATGAAGTATGGCATTTCCAATTATGATTTTTTTTAACTAATAATTTTAATTGTGTACAGTGAACTATTTTTTTGTGCATGTGGTAGTGTAGTTGGTTGAGGCACTATGCTACAAGCTGGAAGGTCATGGGTTTGAGTCCCAATGAGGTGGATTTTTTTCAGCCTACTTAATCCTTCCAGCTGCACTGTGGCCCTGGGGTTGACCAACCTTACTGCCATCTGTGAGCCAATTGTGTAGAGAAAATGTGGGAGCCTTGATGTCTCACAACTATGCGCCTGTTACAAGGATAGCTTTACCTTTACCTTTACAGTGAACTATTTTTACAAAGTTCAGTGTGTATCCTCACAAAATGGCAGACTATAATTTATGACTTGCGACCATTTTAATTTCATGCAAGGTAAAATTACATACTTTAGTCGAAACTACTTTTAAATAAATATATTTTGATTCTTCAAGTGTAATTAAGTGTTTTTAAGTGCTATAAATTGACTTAAAATTGAATTTTAAAACATATTGATGCTTGTGTATTAATTAATTATTTTTCTGTTCCTCAATTTGCAGTTGATAGGAGCAGTGGAATTAATGCTAAAGGATCAGAAATTGCTGTTGGTGTCTGCTGCATTGTTTCCTCAAGTGTCAGGCCTTATTTATCACTGGAGTAACAGTGAAGGTTATGGAGTTCTGGTGCAGCTCTTCTGGAATAACTTAACATCTTTAGTGCTTGAGTCCCTGTCTTCACCTGAAGATGCACCTCATTCCAGATCCATCTGTACAGAATGGCTCCTGAACAGACTTGTAGAGTTTTGTCTTTGTCTTAAGAATCCAAAGCATCAAAGATCTAGCCGAGGACTTAGAGTAAAATTCGTTTTTCCGGAAAATGACTCAAATGGTGAAAGTCTGGAAGCAGAGAGTCCAACAGACACTGTATTATCCATATCAAATGATGTTCATGTCGACAGATATTTACAAATAGTGGTTGAAGTTATTTGTGTCTCTTGCTTCAAAAAAACAAAACAATTCTGTGATCCAGCTTTTTTGTTTTATCTTAATAAGTTGATCAGAGCCTTTGAATCAAGAGAATTGTTTGTGAGCTTATTAAAAGTAGATGTTACAGAAGAGATAGGAACTGAAAGTAAAGATTCTTTGGTTCAGCTATATGACTCAACATTACACAAGTGGCTACAAGATGAAAAAATATGTTCCGAGAATTTAGTAGACATCACATTTGCCTTGTTGAAGTTCTTAACGGCCGACGAAAAGAACCATGTCCTGGACACTTTATGCAAGGTATAGTTGTTGTTTTGTTTGTACTAAAAGTGCAGTGTTTTGAAAACTGGTTTTGTTTCTGTCATTTGGCAAAAGGGAGGCCTAATCTGAGGGGTTCAGCTGTGTATAGACAGTCTCACTTATGAGACCTAAGACTAGCTCTTTCCAGGATATTTCTCATATTAAGTATCCTTTTTGCCTGAAGACAAAAATGAAGCTAATCTCTGAAACATGAGCACTTTTAGTATAGATTCTATGCATTGGATAATGTATGCAATGTTAACACAAACTACAGTTCACTTTCATCAGAAGCATTGAGAATTCTTTAATACAGTATTTTCATCTGATACTGTTAGGGTAATAAACTTGATGGTAAGGTGTATGGGTCATGTAGCTTGTGTGCAGAGACAAGAAATGCACACAAACTTTAGTTGGAGAACCTGAAGGGACCTAGGCATAGATGGGAAGATAATTTTAAAATTAATCTTAAATGAATATGGAATGAGTTGCAAACTGAATTCAGCTGGCTTAGGATAGACTTCACTGGTTG